TTTAAATTACAATATAAAGAATAAAAGTGACTTACTCCCTATAGTATTATTAATCATTAAATATATATATTAAAGAATATCATTAACAGAAATTAAATGACTTGCATCTACTGTATATATATCGATAGTATTTCACAACCCAAAAAATTTTTAATTATTAATAATTAGTTTGACTTGAGCAAATAAAATAAATGTTCATTACTATTTAATTCTTTTAATGTAGGGACATCGGGAGCATCAAAAATTGGCTCTAATTTGATATTTTATTTATTTATTTTTATAAGAATAATTAATTATTAAAATATTATTGCTCGGTAATATTAAATGTTCTTTACCGTCTAATCCGTATAACATAATGTATATTCATTGAAATTTTGGTGGAAAATTTATAGTATTTGAACGTGGTTACAAATTATTTTTTATTTGCGAATAAATCTTTATTAATATTCTTACTCACTTGTTTAAGATATGCGTCGTCTATTTTCTTTCCTTTTGTTTGATTAAAAAATTTTTAATTTTACTTATCATACTTTTATCTTCTTATTATTGACAGACATTGTAATTAATTCTGGAAGTTGCTGAAAAAGGTTTTAAAGGTGACATTCTTCGAATTTAAGATCAACCCGGCATTATAAATTTGACAGAGCTACATAAATCTTGTAACTCAAAAATACCTTAATTCTGGCCCGGTTAAAGAAAATCTTTTTCGGTTCTTTTAATTATCAAATTTTATGTCGTACAAACATGGCGTATTATATTATATTTTGATTATTATATTACAATAATGTCTAAAAAGTATAAAAGTAAATAATTGATATATATTTTTGGTACACAAAGAAGTGATTTTCCTAAAATAAGTCTGGTTTAATGCCAAATAATAAAAAAGTATCGCTAGAATGCTTTAATAAGATGTTATAATTTAGAATGGTATGGTTTATTATAAATATATTTTGCAAGCAAAATATAAATCAGTTAATGAATATATATATTCTATTTAGATCCTAGGCTTCAATGATAAATACTTTTAACTGATAATTTCACGTGTTACTTTTAGTGCATTTCCCATGACAAAAAAAGATAAATAAAAGATCAAATCATGCGAATAATGTCTGCAAATGACTTGAAGTATACTTGAATGTCCTCAAATGATCTCTTTTTTTATCAAATTAAAATGACCAAGATTTGCCATCACTGTACGAGAAGAGTTCAAAATTTCTCTTATTTGTATTTAATAGGTTTGGACCTATAAAATGTTGGCATGTAATCTATACCACCCATCGCTTTTTCCAGCTACAGAAAAAACAAAATCTTAAGGAAGTTTATTTAATGTAAATTTGGTTGGTGATTAAAATGGTTTGAATAAATTTAATGCATATATGACTAATTCCAACCAGTGTAGCTAATTTATAAGCCAGTCTATACTTATTAAACCTATGCCTCCTATAATATTATTCAGGCGAAAATTTTTGAAGTCTAATATAATAAGTTATTTATTGACCTCAATAAGGTTATTAAGGAAAAGAAACCAGACGTATTTTTAGCGTATACAGAAGATAAATCAAGCTTTGAAGGTCAAAATCCACTTGACAACGTAAAATAAAATTCCTATGAGTTTTTGTATAAAAATATCATGGATGAACTTGGAAGAGAGAAACTGAAAATGACAACGAATATTTTCCTATTTAACCGCATCATTATCGAGATTTCTATGGCAAAACATGGAAAAATTAATCAAGCGTACCGTTGAGGATGCTTGTCATGGGAGATCTAGTTGAGTTGAAATACAAGGATAAACAAATATTCCGCAATATTCAACAAAAGTTCATGGTGGACCGTTTCTGATCGCTTATGGATATAGTTAGAACATATAGGGCGAAACTGAAAAGTTCACAGTGCGAAATGTTTCGGATTGAAAAAATGGATTCGCTCGAAACAATAATTTGCTATAGAGGTCGGAACCGATTAACATGTTAACCAATTAAAGATTATTTTCAACCAGTTAAAATAGATGAATTTAACTCTGGCTAAATTTATAGTACTGGACTAAATTATTTTTAACCGGTTAATTAACCGTTAACGAACCAGTTAAAGATTTTTTGGTCTGTTCCAACCTCTAATTTGCGAAGCCTATTCAAGCGACTAAGAGCACGATGTCAATAGGTAATTCAGTTTATAACAATAAGATGGTCAATTCCACGTCTTGGAAATATGAAATATTATTCTTCAACTCTGTTATGCAATCTAAAAATAATCCTAAAAGACCTAAATGTTCGAGATAACTTTTATGGTAAAGAAGAGTTCGTGAGAAAAGCTTTTATGGAAGTTACACTACGAATGCAAAAGCTAATGATTCGGGCGAAACTAGTTTAGAAGAAATTTGGTTTTGTTTTAAGAATTAATCATAGGGTTTAGCCTATATCTTTACCAAAATCTGTATATTATAGTTGACCAGAACGGTTGAAATTTGTCAGAGAATTTCCAATATTTATAACTTGAAGATCTTTCTTTTCCTCAATCAAGAATTCATAAAGAAATTTGACAATATTCTGGATACACACTTCGGACTAGACTTCCGTTCGAAATTCAAAAACCTAAAATAGCCTGGCCTAGAAGGTCTTTCACGTCGTTATGTTATCGTATTCGAGATGATCCCTTTTGGTGATCAATATTTTCTCAAACAATTGATGGAACAGACAGATGTGATGATGGAAAATTATAAGGTCTTTTGCTAATTTTATTATATTACCTTGGTCATTTTGACAAAAAAATTTATAAGCAGCGATGTCATTTGAGATTATTTGCAAGGTCATAGGCCAACAATGATTGCTACTGTTTGTAATATTGGAAACTCTAACAAGACTGATGCGGGAACCTTGAGAATATTTCAAAAGATAAAGATAGCGCGCGAAACTGTATATTGTCGTGAGGACGGTTCTAAAAATAATGGGTTTATTGTCTGAAGCAAAGCGTTGGACTAGACTATTGTAGGGAAGCTTAAAAATTCGGTATGATTTTGCAGATCAATACGTTTCGAATCGTCCGGTAGTATGTATGGTATATAAAGCTTAATATTAGTGGTACGCTACGATTCTTCGCCCTAGTCACATGGCTGTTGTAATGTTTTAAAATTAATTTTATTTCAAAAAAAGATCATTGATAAATACATCTGATTAAAAATAAATTTAGTAGCAATGCTTTTTATTGTAATTAATTTGACAAATTACTGTTGTATCAAAAAAAATAAAAATCGTATCGCAATACGAATAATAATCCCCTTTATTATAAGCTAAGCCCAGTGTAGTGCTGTACGATTCGTTACTAGAAAAGCTAAAAATGGAATGGAATTTTCGGGTTTAACTTTAAACAAAAACAAAAAAAGATAGGACAATTTAAAATTGGCTAATAATATGAAAAAAATAAGTTTAAAGAAAAGTTAATTTAAGAATGTTAATGAAAGGTATAATTATCGATATTGTTTCCGAAATTTCCCGTAAAAATTATATTCGGAATTAATATTATAAGCATGAATAAATTTACAGATCATCCATATTAAATTTGTAAACTAAAATGCTACATGACCATTTATTTTTTTATAAAATAAACATTATACTTATTTTTTTATTTAACAATACTGAAAAATTTAATGGAATTAAGGAAATCAATAAAATAAAAAAATATATTACGAAACAATAATGAAATTCAATTCCAAATTAAAAATTTGGAGATAAAGACTCAAATTACTATTGAAGTAATTCTACAGATAGGAAGGAATGATGCGATGCTGTGAAAAGGATAGTTGAATTATATCGAAATGTTGACATTTCGCTAGATTTGGTACACAGCGTGCCTTTAAATGTTATATAATATCATTATATACAATATATTTTTAAAAAATAGGAATCAAACTAAAGAGCGGTTAATTACTATCATTTTGGTGCTTTATAAGAATATAAGCTTGTTATAATATCTTTAAATTAATTTGAGTCAGCAAAACATAAATAACCAAAGAAAATAAATAGAAAATATAATACAACACAATTTACTTTCATTTGCAAAATATCGAAGTAAGTATCAATGTTTATCATTGTAAATGTCTACCAAAATAAAGTCCACACTTTTGGGTTAGATAGCTAGCCATTTACCAAGGAACCTAAACTCATCAAGTTTAATTTGAAAATTTATAATTTATATATCATCACATATATAATACTCCGAGATAAAAACCAACCGTTCGATATTGAATGATTTGATTTTTAGTGCGAACTATTTCTTGTTTTAATTCATTTTATTTTTAGACGGAAGGGATTGGATCGCTTCAGGCGCATGAGTTTTTTTTTGATTTTATCTTTTCAAAATTATTTTTATTTTTTTTTTTTATGTATTTTTTCTGGTTTGTTGCTAGGCTAGGTAAAGTTTTTCTCATTAATCATTATTTTTTTTTCTCTCTAAAAAAGTCTTATAGAACTTTGTCTTTTAATAACCTTCTCAGAAAAATAAGGTTTGATTGTTCAAAAAGTCAAAATTTTCACATTACTCTATTCTTAGTGATGCAATAAATGACCTAAATAAAAAAAGGAGTCCTGAGGCGTAATTCAAACCATCCGCTGCCTCAGCAAGAAAAAAAAAATGCATAAATTCAGAAGAAATTCAAGCATTGATGCAATCATCCAAATAAAAGCAAAAAAAAAAAAACCTTAAAGAAAAAAAATATATTTTTTATTCGTTGCGACACAAACTAAAAAAAAGTATACTGGATAATTCCGAAACGATCCAAGCCTAAAAAGAATAACGTAAAATAATGAATAGTTGTTGGTTTTTTCAAAAATTGAAATACAATTTTTTATGGTAAAATTTTAAAAGCATTAGTTCGGTCTTACTTTAATGTATTAGATTTGTGAAAATCTAACTTTTGATGAATAATAATTTTCTCATAAATATACATATATATATTTTCTTTACGTTCATATTGTGACGTTGCGCCATGATAAAGTCGATTAACATCAAATCTTGGAATCGAAAATCTAGAAACGATTAATCGATTTTAAACGCAAAAAAGATGGTAACCTAATTTGCCTTATGAATCGATTCCAATCCAAACCTCCAAAAGAAATTCAGAAATTATCTCTATTATATCGAAATGAGTTTGAATATCATCTATCCATTCATCTGGGTGTATATTCCCATCATATTTTGAAAGATTCATATTTTTTTTTTCAGCATTATTTCAACCTTCGAACCATTTATATTCTTCTGTGTCACAAGATCTCCATTTATTATGTGTGCCTAATTACATTTTGCGCCAGTAATGATCATTTATGGCAGTCCTTACATTTATGACGTCATTAAGTTCGTTTATAACCCATAAATCGCATTGAATAATTGATATTTTTAATATTTTTGAGGAAATGCCGCGGTAGTACTTTAGACTTTGTTTAGCTTTGTATTCGAGTATCTGAAATTGAGATTCGAAGATCAGTTAACTGAAATTGGAATTCCAATTTCAGATACCTTTTTGTTATCTGAATCGGTGTTCGGAAATGACCTGGTCATTTGACCATTTAAATGATTGTCCCAATCATTTGTCATTATTCCTTTTAATAAATAAATTAAATTATAACTCAACTAAAAGCTAAAAATCTGAAATATATAACTGGATAATGTTAAAGTTACGAAATTGTAAAAAAAAATTGGCACATTGTGATTGGTTTGGTTAAAATAGTTTTTTTATAAGTTGTCTGAAGATAACAAAAAATGTGTTTGAAATTGAGATTCTAATTTCAAATAACTGAAATTGGAATCTCAATTTCAAATACTCGAAGATTATCTGAATTCTAAATTCAGACAAAAATCAATTTCAGTCACAACAAAGTTAACGAAGCTGATCAATTTGATAAAGTGATCATAGTTGATGCAAAGTTATAATCATTATATTTGTTAGTTATATCTTATCTAGTAGAGTTTCATATTTATTATATTTATTATATTGATCATTTATATTTTATTTATTATTTGTTATATTTTATTGTTAGTAATTTATTATATAAATATCTTGTATTTTCTCTTGAGTTGAAAAGTAACCTGAGATAAGGTTTTAGTATTAACTAAGTGTTCAATAAAGGAATATTATCAATTTATTTACTATTAATTATTTCATAAATTTATATAGGCAAAATTGTAATAAAGTATTGTATTTAATTTGAAGTATTGAATTAAAAGTAAATTATTTTGTTTAAAGTTACTAAGCTAACAATGCTATGCTTTAATACTAAAAAATCTGCTTAAATATCATACAGAATGTACTTTATTTTTAAAACACTTAAATTACAATTGGAAGGTGTGGTCAAAAGAGCTGAAAAATTGCTGCAAATTTAGATAGAGATGAGAAGGAAAACTGAAGCAAATGCAGAGGAAAAGAAAACAATTGATGAACTTTGATGAGTTCACAAATATGCTAATTCTATTCTAATTAAAGGTAAACTAACATTCTTGAGAGAACTACTGTATAAAATTTTAAATTAGTTGAATAAGTAAAGGAAAGAAAAGATTATGTGGTAATAAAATAAATTTATTAATAAAGCTATGAGAAACAAAAGAAGTGAAAGACTTTTCTAAGAACAAGGAATTTGTATTAGTATTCTAACTAACTATTATATTTAATATTTTGGAGGTAGAAGAAGGTTGACAGATAAAATATTATAATAATAATTATGATTATATAATTGTGATAAATGCAGAATTTTATTATTATTTAACTTTAAAATCTGTTCTAATATTAAATATTATATTATAGTATAAATATCATTATAGGTAAAAATATAGTTACTTTTGTAACTGATTAATTATTTAACATAAAGTAGAAAATACTTTCTAAGAGAACTAGCATGTATTCTATAGTCAGATATAATTAAGTCAAACATAGATGTGTTATCACTATTTATAATATTCTATAGGGAATTTGAAATGATCAATTTTAATATTAAATTTGTTAAGAGCATTTAAGAGTAAGAAAAGTCAATCTTCTAGTGTCAAAAAGGTTTTAAAAGGCCAATAGGATAAAGGATTTTAAAAAAGCTATTCTTTAATTTATAATTTATGTGAGCAAATAAAAAAAGTCTTGCCTAAAATATTAATTTCATTAGACATCTAAAGTAAAGTATTGAAAAGTTCTACAAGAAACATTAAAATAGTAGAGTTTAATTATAAAAATAAATGGAATAAAAAATATCTGAAGGTGTATGCTTGGATAATTTCAATTTGTATTTGATGAAGGTTAAATATATAGCAACAATCTTTTTGCATTGTAGATCAGTAGGTAATATGAACTGAGATCTATATTTAATACAAGTTAAAATTACTGTATTAAAAATATAAATAAATTGGGAGTTTGTAAATCTTGTATTCTTTATGATTTGATGGCTTTTTAATTTTATCATGTGATTAAGTATTTATAAACTTTCTATTTAATAATAGTGATATCTAAATATCTAGATATTGAATATTTTTATTAGATTTATAATAAGTGATAACTCAGTAGTTCTCATCATATTAAATGATGAATAGAGATGATTGTAAGATATTAACCAATAAATCAGATTTAGTCTAATTAATTGTATATCATTGAGAATAAAGAAACTGTTAGTTAACAAGATAATAACAGTCAAATTATCTTTAAAATTAGTAATCTATAAGGTATCATCTATAAAAGCAAGAGTAAGAATTCTTTGCTTTAATATTATTGTGTTAGTGAAATAGATATTTGATTTCTATTGAACATTCATAGTATATTCATATTGTAATTCTTTGATTTTGCAAAAAAAAGGTCATAGTATATACACCATAGTATATATACTATAATAAAGGTAATATATTTCTCTTTAGTTGATACCTAAATAAACTAAGTGTACTACTCTCAGAAAAGTATCCAGTCAAGCTTTTTTAAATTTTTCAAGATCAGACATATCAACTAAATAAATTTTTTAAATAACTCCCTAGTTTCGATGATGATATACATATGTTTATATTTGTGTAATAATGCATAAATTAGTTTTAATAAACAAAAATATAAAATAACTCTAATTTTACTTTTTTAAAAATTGTGTTATTCAAAATAAGAAAAAATCGTGAATTAAATGATTTTGAATGTAAACAAATTATAAGTTAACAGGAAGTATTTATGAGATAATCATAAGCATTTTAAAGTTTCCAAAAAGTACTCACTATTACAGATGTAATTGCACAGTATGCTAATTCTAATAATGAATCAAATGCTAAAGATTTAGAAGACCAAATTCTATAAATAAAGATGATAATCAAATACTTAGGTAAATTATAATTAAATATTTCTTAAATTTTGATCATTTCATTTATTTTAAAAATTTACACTTAAAATTTTAAATAAATATTTTTTTTTATATTTTTTTAGCTGACTAGATACTTTTCTAAGAGTAATATATGTATTAATGTTAACATGTGCAGTAAAAACTTGATTAAATCTAGAAAGAAAGATCTATATAATGATTTGAATGAAGGTAAAAGGAATCTTAAGGCTTTTTAAGGTTTTTACAATTATGAAAATATTTATATTAATCTAATTTTACTAAGATTTTTTAAGTTATAGTATCTAAATACTAAAAATCTATATAATAATTGTTAATGGTGCTGTTAAACCTAAACACTACGTCGTTAGGATAACAAAGCTTATTTACTAACAGGGAGTTTAAGTTGTAAACTATGAAAGAAATAAACACGAATTTATTTAAGTTAAAGGGTCAGGTTATCTTTATTGATGATTTATTTATGTTTAAGAAAATAGATATTGACAAAGATATAGTTTTTAAGTTGTTAAGATTATACTTTATTAATTGTACGATTGAAACTTGTTAGTTTGTCAAGACGACAATACAAAATATTTATATAAAATACAATTATAAGATAGAGATAATAAATATAATAGTGAAATTCAATATAACTATAAAAATAAATATATTAAATAAAATAATGATAAACATGATAGTAAATAAAATAAAGAAAATGAATATCACAACGATAACCGTGATAGCAATGAAATTAGTGAAAATGATGATCACGCTTTTCCTAGTGATCATTGGTGATATTAGTTGGCGCAGTCATCTAGTGACGCAAACAGATTATCACTAATAGTGCTCATTGATGTCACTTCTATAACCTCACATCACACTTAAATCTTAAGACCTTAAGGTTTTGATTAAACTCAAATTCTAATCAGAACTCACTTATTGATATTGGCCATCTAGGATGATGTCTTAAGAGCTAATCTCTAGAGATTCTAGAATTTCAGAACTACTGTTTTCAACCACAGATACTTACATCATATTTCTCTATGCTTACTAACACTAATTAGAATCACTATTATCTCTGCCTGATATCAGGGTATATTACACATAATCAAAAGGCTTAAATGTTATTATCCTTATAGAATCTTAGAAAGGTAGATAACTGTCGTACACATATAATCAAATTTACCCAGGAATTGAATCTAGTATACTTGTTATCTATGTTATATAAGTATAGGATAAAATCCTAATTCAATCCCATCCTAAATTCCATTCCTTAAACTAAAACTTTAACAAATAATATTGTTATAATTAATAATAATAATTTAATGTAGAAGTTAGAACTGGTTAAGGTTAACCGGTTAATTAACTGGTTAAGATATTTCAATAACCAATTAAAATGGTTAATTTAACCAGTTAAATTAATCAGTTAAATTAATCAGTTAAATTAACCGGTTAATTTATTATTGATCACCCAAATTAAAAAATGCATGCATATGCAAATC